ATGAAGGTAATTATAATTTCGATGCTGCCAAAGTTAAGGTTTTTACTTGTTGATTTATGAAATTGAACCCAATATTTTTTATGTATAGAAAAAAAATATATTTGAAAAAATTTAGACAGCTGAGAAAATCATTTTTATTTTTGCATAAGGTGGATAAATTTATATAAAAATGTCATAGTATCACACACAACAACACTACTATCAAGGGGGAAAAAGAGAAAAGGCGTTGAAAGAATGGGCTTTGGCTTTATTTAAACACAGTTTCGAAACAATAAATGTTTTAATCGGATCAAAGAATATCGCAGGATCATACAGTATCTTGAAACATCTGCTCTCTACTGGAGGGCTCTGCTACTATGTTAGATAACAAATCCCACATACGAGTATATGGGTATTAGTTTAGGTGTTTAGTCTGATATACAATATATTTGCATACTTCCGTGTATAAATATACATTTCTCTATTTTTATATGATAATCTTAGTTTACATTTATATATAAATATTTTTTTATGTAATTGTATGCATAGGTACCTCTGTATATATGTTATTATTACAAAACTTTTGAAAGAGAAATTTGCATATTTAAATATTTAGCAGATACGCATACGTATGTAAATACATATATTTCTAGTTCCCTGAACTTGCCCTTTATTTGCTAATTTATCTTTGCAAAAAATTATCACTTAAACTTATATATACGGATGCACTAAAGTATATCTACATTCTTGGCAAGCGAAAATTACAATAATAAAAAATATACATATAGAAGTACATACGGGGGTAGTTGTGAAAATTAGTGTTTTTCTAAACGCTGATTTTATGATACAATTTTTAAATATATTAGTTTTGAACAAATTTTTTACTCATTCTTAAAATGTGATGCATTAGAGGTTTACAAAAGAGACTTTGCAACTATCTGAAAAATATTTATTCTGACCAAATCTTTTTTAAACGAAGGTATTCTTCAGATAAAAATAAGAATAAGTTAATATTTCCCTATATGTAAGGGTTTCGCGTATACTATAACTATTTTTAAAGTTATGCCAAATCACAGTCGTTATACTGTTGCAATCGGATCGACGCAACCTGTATTTGAATTATGGTAATGACTTACATCATAGCAGAATTCTCACAAAAAAATTTTATGAAATATTTTACATTGATAAAAAATAAAGACAATAGCATCAGTTGCAGGGCACAAGGCTGAAAAAATTAACACAAAAGTATTTATATATACTTATGTACATAGTATATTCTTAAGTTTTTTATTATTTCGCAAGCGACACCCCATTTTCTTCCATTAATTACTTTCAGATTGTATACAAATATAATTTGATCTATGTCCGGTTAACCCCTTTTCAAAGTTTTTGTAACATTTAAGAAGCATTTTGGTCCCGTTCCTACGTACGTATGTACATATGTACATACATATGTATGCATAATATAAGTATATAAATATATTACATATGTATATATATATGCTAATCTTACTAACGTATAATGAATCCTATTACTACTCCTTATTAAACATATTCAATCAGAAGTCAACTCTTAGCCTACAAGCAGCGCATATGCACTACACACTTTCTCATATAAAACAAATTGTTACTCATACGCCATGGCTCCACCAAACATCTTTTTCTTGAATATCTCCACCATGCAATAGAATAAGCATGTAATTGTGTGGGTACAAATGTTTACATGTGCAATTTGTTACTTATTATTATAAGCTGCTTAGGAGAGTTTAAGTCAAATTGACTAATGGATATTTACGCCGCTCATTGATTGAATGGGAATAAGTAAAAAATGGCACACACCAATTAGATGAGTATGGAATGTGTACAAGATCGGAGGGATTTCCAAGAGTTGATTTCTCATATAAGAAATTTATTCGAACGGGTTTTTGTCTTTGTTGTAGGAAAAAGTCTATAACTTTTAATTTTTTTAAGCGATGATAATGCAATCTTGAGACTTTTTCCGCTCGCAACTTGGAATTCAGAGAATTATCATGTCACTTTTTTAAATCAAATCAAATTATTTTGTTTACAATTCGTTTACAAATACATACGCACATACTTGATGTCAATAGCGCACAAGTACCAGCAACAGCAACGTTGGCAACATATAAATGTGCATATGTATATTTATTTGTATTTTTATACAGAACACACATTGTTATTTTGTTGTTTCCACGCCTGCTCTTAGCTTACTGGTGGTGCCAGTAACGGAAGCTATGCCTACTTTTGTGCATGATTAACTCATATATTACAGGGTTAAGGGAAGTGTGCGGCAATCAATTCAAGACAACTCATCAGTCAAACTATTTACAAATTAGTAACAAACGAAGTGTATAACAACCTTGAAACTTGCCTCGAGCGATGCAAATGATATTCGCGCATGCATATTTACATTTGCAAATATAAATACATACAATATATGAATGATTATATTTACAATTACATATAAGTACCATATATTTGCGAATACCTTAACATTTTGCACAGGTAGTATAAATATTTACTTAATTTTTTGGGCTATAGGCTCAGTAAGCTTTTGTTCAAAAAATTACCAATTCAGCGGCGATTGTTCCATCAAGGCCTAAAGCTCTTTGCATCAGAGCTACTTAACATATGACGCATTCGATACGCTACTCCTCTGCTAGCTCTGTTTAAACTAAGCTTTCTTAATAAATATTAATGTGACAGCAAAAACAAAGTTAATTGAATTGATTACAAAAGTGTACCATATAAAGTTACATCCTTAGAGCTAGCTTGAGGAAGAACATAATAGGTTCGATTCGCCACTTTACAAATAAACTTATGCTAGTTTCATGAATATTTTATATAAAAGTATTCTAGTAATGACAAAGTCTTAATTTTTATTCGCTGGATACGAATTCAGAAAAGCGTTAGCACTTTAAAAGCAAAAGGACGAAAATTCTTTTTTAATTTACCAAATAATACAAAAAAATTAAAATAAACAATAGTATATTTTCTTGGAGAAAACTTTGAAAGAATGATTCAGAATATTTGCATTCCGATATCAGTATTCTTTATGCACCAATTTTGGTACCGAATCGCACCATGTACAATAGATATGCAAATTCTTACCTAATTTTATTAAAATATATCATTTAGTCCACTGACTGGTACATACTGTATAAAGAAAACTGAAAGAACGAAGATTACAACCATGTTCAGAATAGAGCTGGTACATTCCATTTATAGTGAATGGCTACGCTTTGTTTCGATACGCTTGAGTTATATATTTGAAAAAATTGTATGATTATTGTGTTCTCGTCATCCGATTTAGCCAATTTCAAACTAAGCTGGGAGTACTTTTTAAATATAACAGAATTGGATAAGATTAGTCGTGTATTTTATGAGGTATGAAGTTGCACTTAAAATTAATGACGATGTCCTGTTTAAGTCAGTAATGTTTGAACGGGTCCGGTTTTGTGTATATACAAATTTGATATCTTATGTTTGATATTATTGACGTCCCATAAATAGAAGATTTAGAGTTTTCAAAAGACTTTGAACCATAAATCGTTTTTGACCCATTGGTAATTAATAATAACTTCAAGCAAGGAAATTGATTATATACCATAAATAAAAGAATAATAAAAGCTTTAAGAAGCCAATTGAATGATTTGAATTTCAATACTTAAGTAAATGTGTACAATAAAGGAAATATCATAATTTGATGGTCAAATGGAAAAATTTTAAGACAGTTAACTATTTAGAATGCCAAGAATTGGTTTAAACTCTTTAAGTAAACTTAGTTTCAATCTAATGATTAATTTTAAAATAAAACCAAACAGTTTTAACAATGATTTCTGTGGGAGTTATTTTTAGAATAGTTGCCACATATATAATATGTAATTTTTAATTAAATATTATTCTAAATAAAACTAATATTTAAATTACTGGTATTTGTGAAATATTAGGTTCTTCAATAAAATTTTGATCTACTTACGAGTAAACTTCAATATTCATGTCCAAAATATTATGTTGTGAAAAATTTATAATAATTAGCTCTCTCCATACTTAAATTCAATTTACAATATTAAGCTACAATACTCATATCAAATATTTTTTATACTGGATCGCTTTAAAGTTTTGAGCTAGATACTCTATATCTTCTGACTTGCTTTCGACATTCAAGGAATCTAACAAAATAATAATAATAGTTTCACGTGCATAAAACGTGCCAAATGAACGAAACAGTTGATATGATAAAATAAACCACAAACAAAAAAACAGTTAAAAAGCTCAATGGCCTACGGAAGAACTTTCCATAAAACACTAACAACTAAGGATGAAAACGAGGGCAAATTATACTTGCAGTAATGACGAAAGAAATGAGATGACGAAACAAAAATGGCGTAAAAAAACCGCATAATAAATGTATGCAACAGTTTTCGGAGCAAGAAGAGCATAGAAATGTGAAACACGAAACAAATGCCATGCATGGCCTTAACATTCAAAGCAAACACAACCGTATGCGTCAACGAAGAGAAGACTTTTGGGAGTATTGCGTTAGTTAACCGGCCTCTTTGTGAACGGCAGCAACAGCTGATGACAGCCGATACTGCTTTAGTGTTACGAAACGAACAAAAAGCTTTTTGAAAAAGCTTTTAATGTTTTATATTGTGTAAAAAGCGCGGGCAAATAGAGTTGGAGAAAGTGGATTGTATTCCCGATTTCGAGTGATAAGCACGTGACTTTCAAATAGAAACTTTCACAAAATAACTGTAAGTGTTCATATATGTATATACATGTATGAATTCGCAAGTGCTTGGGCCTGTACCGTGCTCAGCTGTTTCGCGCTGCTATTGCGTGGGGTCACTTACATCCCTCACCCTCACCCACACCTCCAAATACCGTCCACATTGGCAGACATAGGAAACGATGCAATATTTGGTAGCTTGTTTGTGGCGAGTTGAAAGCTTCCAGGTCACACTATTCCCTTAATTGCTTGTGCCAAATGCTGGGACAGTAAGGTTTTGACTAAGAACGAAAGCACAGACAAGTCGCGGCGAACAAGTTGAGCGGGAAACACGCATTGAACGCATGCCGAATAATGCTTCGAAGTTATTGCATTGCTTTTAGCCAATTTGTGCGCTACTTGACTGCGATGCTAAAGTGTTGATTGTGACTGAATTACATTTATGAATTGAATGAAGTGTGTTTAATTGAAACAAAATAATAATCGGAAAAATTTTCATCTTTGACCGTGTTTTGCACGCATTTTACTCTTTTATAAATTGGATTATTTGGTGCGGTTGTTACTGGACGAAATTCGGCATAAGTTTACTTTTGTTATGTAAAAATGGTTCTGTCTTAATTGAAAATTTTTGCACGCGGCCGTTTTGCGCATGTAGTTCCCACACATCCAACGAAATTTAAAAAGAAAGTTCCGTGTGGGGTTGGGTTGTAGCTGAGACATAATTAATTACCTACCAATTAAATGTTGCAAAGAAATTTAAATATAGAAATAACAAAAAATAAAACTATGCTTGAAAATGAATACATATGAATAACCCTGCATTTAAAATTGTTACAAAGGAATATATTATAAGGTGAAAAGTGAAATTTAATCCTTTATACATACATATATAAAATACAACTGAACATTTAAAAGAATATCTGAGTTTAGTTAGCTATATTAGTCCTAGCCCCAAAACTGGGATCATATTTAGAGAATTTCAGACAAGTGTATTGTGATGCATTAATTAATACATTTTCCCGTTTAAAAAATCTGATGATGAGTGATGAATAAATATATATATGTTTGTACAATACACAAAATTCATTAATATATTTACATATGTACGTCTTTTAAACTTGAAATTTGACAAACGTTCCTCGATATTCAATTATAGGCTGTGAGCAGCTCAAATGACCAATAAATGCTTAGTTATAACACCAAATTTGCAAAAACAATAACAAAATATTTTAATGTTTAAAGAATTAAATACAAATCAAAATCAGCTTTCTACAATTCTTTAAAATAGTACGAGGATCAGCTTTATCAATCAACATCAGTGTAAGCAACCTTAAACAACAGTTGAACCTTAAAGAATTAGAAAGAGTACCAAAGATTGCAACAACAATTTTTGGTTAATAAAGCAACATACCTTACAATAACAATAATATATCGTGTATTATAAAACTGATTTAAAAGTCAGCCTGAACCACATCTAACAACGCTCAACACATCACCACTTGCCACACATCATGCTGGCGGACAATAACAGTCACAAAGAGAATTTTGCTACACCTGCGCTCTCCATGTCAATTATAAGCAAGTCCGCTATGATTGCTATTATTCGTGAGGATGAAGATGATACGAAAGAGGAAGATGGTGATGGAGACGATGAAGATGAAGATGAGTATGGAGAGGACTATTATGCAACGGTACTTAATTGAATGAACATTTATACTCTATATGCTCATTAAAATATTTTTAAAGATCCATTAGCTTAATTTTTTGAGTAAAATTTTGGAAAATCAAATATATTACTTCATTAAAATCATATTTATTCTATATTTGCCATTATCCATAAATTGAATTAATACAATGTTTTTGTAATCAATTTTATTTGTTGCATTTTTGGTAAATCCCTGATGGTTATCCCTGATAAACTTGATTCGAATTAGGTTAACAATACAGCTGTTGCAGCATATTTATAGATGATTATGTCATGAAAAAAAACATATTCTTTCTATGAGCATGTAGTAAGATAATTGAGAATAAATCAAGAATCATTGATTTCAAGACCAATAAAAGTGCTAACCAATACTGAATAAACAAATTCTCAAGAAAGAGTGATATGGTGTTTATAATGGTACATAAAACGTCCCTAAATATGTATTATAGTTTTCGGGAATACTGTCGAGATAATTATCCTTACGCAAATATAAATCTGGATTCCTCTTGGGAAGCAAACGATCTTAGGATAACCCGGTTCGAAGTCAACATTATTTATACGCATAATGTGTTTCTGTAAAGTTTAAATCCGATAAAGAGACCAAAGCCGAAGTAGACTCGTATTCAGAATAAATTGAGAAAATGAAACTGAAATTAATGATTGTATCTGGCGTTAAAGATAAGTCATTATAGCTCATTTTTATTTCCGGTTCATTTTATATTACGACCGTTATATAAACATTTGTATGTATATATATATTTTTTTTTTTTTCAATTTAAACCTAATTTTATTCCGTTTTTTGATTGAAAAATGTACATTAATTACCAATTTATAAATTCCGGAGTGGACCGTACAAAACTGTGATTTTTACAAATGTTCGAACTTTTTTCTCGCGTTTGCTACTAGCGCAGTGAGCATTATCTTCGCCATGTGGCATCAAATATGCTGCGCAACGATAGAGTACGAACAATCGCACGCTCGAAGCAAGGTTCTTGAAATTTATTGCGAACGGAGTTTTTAACGGTTCATTCTCAAATTTATACAGACGTGACTAAATAGCCTTATACACATTTTTCCATAAAAAAAACTGAATAAAAATAGTTTCAAATTGAAAATAAATTATTTGTTTATAAAAATCTACATTTTGCTTATGAAAAAAAGTCGAATAAAATCGACGTATATCCCATAAATACTATATACTCGTATACACATCTCTCCATATAATCTTTTATGATCATATGCTTTTGAACGCATTTCCTACTTCATTAACTTTACAATAAAAAGTTTCTCCAACACTTTTAAATTTTACGTATTTAAATAACCGTTGTTCATTCAGCACTTTTAAAAAAATTGCCAATAAAACAAAAAATGAAATGTGGACGCCAAAACTTTTCGCAATGAAATGTCCATGCAAAGTGAAAGGTTAGAATAATAAATGACCTTCACGAAATTGGATAGCCGAAAAACAAAAACATACACACACATACATCTCGATAATCGTATCAAAAGTGGTTGACTGAAGTTGGCAAAAGCGACTGAGTGGAGTAATGAACTGGTACGTTTGTATATGTTTGTTTTAAGTAATTTTTTGCCGGCGCTGATTGGTTTGCGTGCGACATTTTATGGTATTTTAAAGAGCTTAACCGTTTTTAAGACACGTCCAAGGAATTGCACCATAAAATTGTATATACACTGTCCTAATTTATGAACTAAAGATAATATGACTTCATTTCTCGCTTATTTTGGCTGGTCTTTATCTGCCACTTTGACATATACGAGAATATACATATTAGGTAACAAACACAGCCTAATAACTAATACCACAGAATAAAATAAAATCACAGCTTTACATAAATCAAAAGATTCCTTACAAGAACTTTGATCGGTCAGTTTGTACAGCAGCTATATGCTATAGTGACTTGTTCTGAACAATTTCTTCGGAGATTGCATCATTGCAAATTTCTTGAAGATATCTCGTCAAATGAATACTCTTTCCATACAAGCACTTTATTGCTTCTTTGGTGAGAAAATTACGGGTTCAGAACTTCACGTCCATATCTCAAAAACTGAGAGACCAGTTCGTATATGATCATTTATACATATACTTTATAGGATCTCTGACGTTTCATTTTGCAAAAAATCCTCCTCTGTTTACTTAAATGGACTTGTAAATCTCTAAACAACTACGCTCGTCTTGAGAAATAGCTGTCAATATGCTTAGTGTGCAAAAATATTTGTTTTTGCTAAGGCGTTAAAACGCACTCTTAATGAGACTTTACGTTAAGGTGCCGGGCAACAGTTAGCTTGGCAGCCAACCGAAAGTGCAGACTATTTAAACACCAAAGTTATTAACCTCATGATTGCAAATGTGCCAAACAATCAAACATTTTAAATTGAACATCAAGGGGGAATAACCTTATAGATTTATTGCCGCACAAACTAATGACTCAGCAAACACTTCGTACACACAAGACATAGTATTTATAGTAGGTTATACTTTAACATGCTTGAAATGTGGCTTAAAATTCATGTTTGAAGAGTAAGGAATTGAATAAAATGATTGGGTCACAAATGCTGTTTAGTGGTGAAATGAAATTCTCATTTGTTGCGCACTTGAGTAGGAGCATAACAAACACTTGGCAGCGGTTGAAAGTTTGTGGGTAATTATTTCTCGATCATTGATACGCACTCAATGCTAAAATTAAAGCCTCGGCATTAGTTAATTGACGAATTGGATATGGAAAGATAAGAAAATAGAAGCAGGAGCAGGTTGAACTGCAGCTTCGACCAGTATTGAAAAGTTTGTCTCGAGAGGTAATATTAAACATACAAGCCTTTTTCTCCTATTGAATAATTTTCATGTGTTCAAATTATATATTCAAATAATGTACCTCTCAGATTATAAAAATAATACCTTGTCTTGATATTGGACATAATATCATTGATTCTAACGATCTCGTACGCCTATAAAGGTCTAATAAACCGTTGGTCCATTCTTTGTGAATACAGTAACCAGGACTTAAATTGTAGACCAATTAAGCCCGTCGACAATATTGGGAGTTTAGAGTATTCTTTTAAGAGAACTATTGGCCTAATGAAACTAAAAATTACTTACTTGTAAATAAACGAAAACTTAGTATTGAAACTTGCTTAAATAGACAATGAATTATTCGAATAAATCAGGTGCATTTATATCTTTCCCGGTATCTGCTAAGATACTCGATTAAGACGAGATATATATCGAAAATGAGTCTTGTTGAACCTAAATATATATTTCATGAATATTAATCAAGTAAAAATGTTTACAGACGTCGAATTGCATTGAATATTCTGCTCAGGGCATTGATATTCTAGACAACCGAATTCGTTCCCCGAAAGATGCATAATATTAATACAGTTGTATTCTACATAATCTCCTATACTCATACCAACGTTTTTTTTAAACCCCCAATGCTCTTCAAGTACTGTAACCCCTAAATAGGGTATATTAAATTTGCCACGAGAATGTAACACCCAGAAGAAAACTTTAGAGACCCTATAAAAAATATATGGATATAATCAGCGTGATGTCTGTGTGTGAATTTTGTACATATCTTTTTCTCTCCAAGAATATATGATACATTTAGCTGCCATGGATAATTGCGGAATGCACGGCGACCTGTGGTCTGTGTGCTCTCTCATGTTATCAAAACACTTCGTTTAATCCCGTTAAATCAAGGATTCTTAATGAAGCTCCTTGGTTAATTGCGATTGCGGGGAAATCGAATAGTATATGATCTGGTGTCTCTGATCTTTGGTCTCGGAAACGACACAGATCCGTGGAGCAATACCCTAATCCGTACAGATGACACCTTAGCCTGCCGTGACCTGTATAAAATCCCACAAGCTGCCTTAATTTGTTTCTGAGAAGAACAAATAACGTTTTTTTATGTTTTTGGTTAACATTGAGTGATTTATGAGTTACAGAAATTTGAAAAACCTGAGTAAGATGTTAAGCGTTCTAGACATTAAAATTTAAAACTATCTAATCTATAATTGCAATCCTTACCTCCAGAAGCACGTGCAACAACTTTTCGAACCTTCTTTATGTTTATATTAACTGCAATATACTGGCAAAAATGTAAGATGGAGTTCACACAGTACAGTTATCAGGTAATAGTAGGACATCTGAGTTAAGTTTCTATTTTATTAAATTTCTAAAATGTAAAAAGTGTAACTGTTACAAAGACTTTAACAAAAAAAAAAGCAACAACTAAATAGATTTTGGGTTGTTATGGTTTTTTCCTGCTGCTACACATGCAAAGCGCTTTGCTACCAAATCAGATTTATACAAATTTAAAACCATTTTATACATAGTAATATAATATATAACAGAATAATATAATATATCCATATTTAACATCATATTGTACATACATACCTATATATAATATATACTGTGGTATATGCTTTCGGTTGTGTATGTCACAACGACAGGTAGATTTTATTTTTTCTATCATTTTGGGAGTTTTCCTGCCAAACTTTCCATTGTTGTGAACACGTCTTCCATTTCTATAACCATATTAATATGTAACACGCAAAAATGCTGATCACGTATAAAATGAAAGCGTTACAGCATCGACAGCGTTGACCTCGGACCAACGAACCACATATAAATATGCATATTATATAACTAAAGAAAAGGAGAATAAAAAAACTAAAAGAAAGGAAGAAATGTGTACGACATTTACCTTAGCAAAATCTTTTATGTATTGAATACGTTTCACCGTTTTAATTAGGCGTGCGCCATATTATTGAGTGGCGCTGCTGTTAACAATTGCCCATATATACATTTAACGGTATATAATGAAAATATTTGCCTCACTAACCTTGAACCCATTTATGATGTTAATTTCTTACACTAAAATTCTGGGAAAATAAATTCGTTTATAAAAAGGTTTTCAGCACAAAATTGGTAATATGAATATATATTAAGTAGCATATATG